TAATAGCTTCTTGTTACTACTAGTAAGGCACTTAGTTACTAATAGCTGATTGTTAGTACTAGTAAGGCACTTGTTACTAACAGCTTCTTGTTACTACTAGTAAGGCACTTGTTACTATTAGCTTCTTGTTACTACTAGTAAGGCACTTGTTTCTAATAGCTTCTTGTTACTACTAGTAAGGCACTTGTTACTAACAGCTTCTTGTTACTACTAGTAAGGCACTTAGTTTCTAATAGCTTCTTGCTACTACTAGTAAGGCACTTAGTTACTAATGGCTGATTGTTAGTACTAGTAAGGCACTTGTTACTAACAGCTTCTTGTTACTACTAGTAAGGCACTTGTTACTAATAGCTTCTTGTTACTACTAGTAAGGCACTTAGTTACTGGTAGCTTCTTGTTCCTAGTAGTAAGGCACTTTCTTTTCTTCATTTCTGGTGGTTTTTCTTCAATTTGTTCTTCCCTTCTCCTGTTTGTTCTTCTTTCAAACAGTTCTCGTGGTTTGTTTGTTGTTGCCTTTCTTCAGACCTTATTCCTGCTTCGTGTTTTTGTTCCATTTAGAAAAACCTATTTCCTTGTTTTCGTTCTTCCAACTGTTTGTCCCTTTTTCTCGCTGTTCCCTTTGCTTTCTTCAGGCTGGTCTTCAGACTTGTGTGGAAAGCCGTTCTTGTCTGTCGTTTCTCAGTGTGGACACGGAGTTTTTACGGAAGTCGTTGAGGCTGGGTTTGACCGGTGCTCACATCCGTCGACTGGGGCAGTTACAGCATGAGATCTTCGAAGTCCGGTTTGCAGAAAAGAAACAAAGAAATGTCAAAAGAAACCTAATAGCGATGGCCTTCACCCTACTAACGCACATGTGAAAGCACATATATGCACGTTGAATTTTGACTTTGATGTTTGCAAAGTTCTGCGCCTGCGACGCAATTGGTGCGTGAGGTGCGGCGTCCTCCTATGTGTCCTCCTATGTGTGCCAGTTCACTGATCCGCCCGTGGTTTGGTCTACTCAACCCTGTTTGGGGCGTCCGGAAGCTTCATCCGATAAGCTTTTGAGAATTGAAAAAAAAAGACAGCAGAAAAACCATGAAACACATAAACAACAAATAAAGCCATGTATGTTTGTTCGTTCCGAACTCTCAGCTGTCTTCTTTCGTTCCTCTTTAATTTCGCCAAGAGACCGGTACCCAAATCATGTTAAAGTGCCGGAAAAGCCTGCGAAAGTGCCGAAAGAGTACCGGACGCTAGTCACAAAGGGCATCGCTACTAGGAACAAAGGGCATTACTAGTAGCATTCTTGATACTACTAGTAAGGCACTTGTTCCTAGAAGCGATGCACTTGTTCCTAGTAGCATTCTTGCTACTAGTAACAAGAGGACGCTACTAGCAAAGAGTACCAGAAAAAAAGAAACGAAAAAAAAAAAAACGAGGGACCTGGGGGTCACAGGCATCCGACCACCACCAGGTGGTCCACAGGCGCAAATGAATTGAGTATCTGCCACTTGCTTCCTCAGATGTCATGTATCTTTTTTTCAATAAGCGATGGCCTCCAACCTATAAAACTTAATGCGAATGCCAAATGTGTAAAACAAAAAGAGTGACATGGCGAATGCCACACTCGCTAAGCAGCCAAAAGAGTTTCTTTTTGTCATAGAAGCCTCCATAGTCAACGACCTCCGGGTGTGAAACAACGAACAAATGAGCAACACGGAGAAGCCATGAAAGGCCTGTCGCAGGAGCTCTATGGGCGGCTGTGCACCGTAGAATCTTGGCGACAATCCCCGTAGCTTCTTGCTACTAGCGATGCACTTGTTACTAGTAGTAAGGCACTTGTTACTAGAAGCGATGCACTTGTTCCTAGTAGCGTCCTTGCTACTAGTAGTAAGGCCAGGAGCCCCTAGTAGCGTCCTTGCTCCTAGTAGCGATGCCCTTTGTTCCTAGTAGCTGCTTGCTCCTAGTACTGAAAGAAATAATACAAATTTACTTCAATCTAACTCTATGTGCTCTGCATGATTGGAACAAACTCTCAAGGTCTATTGACAAGTGCAATCGAGCCCGATGCTCCAGCATGGGCATATTGACATCGTCGACAAAGAAGATCCTGCACATGAAGTGTGAAAAGGGATCAGTCATGAGGCATGATTCAAAAAGCGTCAAAAAGGTATAGAAAACTAGAGAAGGACAATGTCCTTAAGTTTCCCTAAAAATTGATCGAACAAAATCATTAGTGCGAGCGCTTCTTCAAGGAAGCTCTCCCCCAGCTTCCTTGAAGAAGCGTGAGCCATCCTGCATCCATATGTAGAAGTTCACTGAGCCTAGTAGCGCCTACTTAATTAAGTGGGAGCCGGCTAAAAAAGGTAAAGAGAATGGACCAATGGTCTTGTTTAAGTAGTAACAAGAAGCTACTAGGAACAGGTGCCTCGCTACTAGTAACAAGTGCCTTACTAGTAGTAACAAGAAGCAACTAGGAACAAGTGCCTCGCTACTAGTAACAAGTGCCTTACTAGTAGTAACAAGAAGCAACTAGTCCAAGGGTCTTGTTTAAGAATTTCAAGACCTAAAGACTCAAGCCTTCACATGTAACTGGCGGTTTGATAGGCTGCATTGTGCTTTTGTAGCGCTTTTAGCATGTTGACTGGATAATGCCGTTTGGAACATGCTTTTGTACATGCTGTTGTTCATGTAAGAAGTTCTAGAGTTAAGCTTATGTTTCTTACGTTCTACATCCTGCTTACAGTCTTTCTGGGTTCTGTGGAGATGTTGGTACGACATGGTCATGGTGGTGGTGTGCTTCTGTCGCCACAGTCATGGTGGGTCCCTTGGTACCGAGGGAAGATCCGAGAGTCTTCGCTACGAACGGAGCGATCGGACGCTACGAACGGGGCTCCTGGCCTTACTACGAACGGAACAAGGTTCGCTACTAGGAGCGAAGGGCATCGCTTCTAATAACAAGTGCCTTACTAGTAGCATCCTTGCTCCTACTAGCAAACTATATTAGACCTTTCTCTCTCCGCTTTCTTCTTTGTTTTCCGTTGTGAAAATGTTTCTGGGCTCCCAGCATAGTGGTACCTGGAGGCGCACCCAGTAGCGTCTTGCGCTTGCGCTCCAGGCGATTTTCGAACTGGTCCACCACCTAAACGAGAACAAACACATACAGCTTTGATCGCTATTACATTGGATGCCATCGCTACTAGGGTGGAGGCCATCGCTCTTAGGGGGAGGCCATCGTTACCAACAACTAGACGACGGTTGGCCCGAGAGCGAGACATGTAATTGTCCAGCACTGTCGAAAAGATGTATAGAAAGAGAGAAAGAGAGGATGGATGTGAAGGAGTGACAGTGTGATGTGCAGGTGCGATATAGATCTGTAGATGTATGGAGGTGGAGAGGTAGATCTGTGGATGTGAGCGTGCGAAGATGTAAATGCACAGAGACGAGAGACAAGATATGTAGAAAGAAAGAAAGAAAGACAGGACAAATGTGAAGGAGCGACAGTGTGGATGTACAGATGTGATATAGATGTGCAGATGCGTGGGTGTGGTGAGGTGGAGAGGTAGATCTGCGGATGTGAGCGTGTGAAGATGTAAATGTAGAGAGGTGAAGGGGTGTAGACGTAGATGCGTCGATGCAACGGCACTGCAACGTCAACCTTAGTCACGCAAGTACAACGCTGAAGAGGTTCAACTAGAACTGAAGAACGTACATTTCACACTGAAGTTTCCACGAGCAGGGCGACCTGAGAGTAAATGACGTCACGATCATGACAAGCGACTCGTGTATTCCAAGCGAACATCGCTTGTCATGAAGGTGAAGTACACACATACTAACGCCACGATGACTCTTTTGCGGCAGCCACTTATGAGTAAGCAAAGTAGCTAAAATTTGTCAACCTCTCAAGAGAGCCGGGCGGTCGGGAGACATGACTCAGCTGCAGGGGCGCCAGAGCAGCCACGAGAGATGACTCAGCCGCGAGAAATGACTCATCCGCGTACTCAAGTTGTACTACAAAGTCGCCAGTTCTCAGCTTCCAGCTCCACAGCTTGCTCCGCGTACTAAAGTTGTACTACAAAGTCGCCAGTTCTCATCTTCCAGCTCCCCAGATACTCCGCGTACTAAAGTTGTACTACAAAGTCGCCAGTTCTCATCTTCCAGCTCCACAGATTGCTCCGCGTACTACAGTTGTACTACACAGTCGCCAGTTCTCAGCTTCCAGCTCCACAGATTGCTCCGCGTACTAAAGTTGTACTACAAAGTCGCCAGTTCTCAGCTTCCAGCTCCACAGATTGCTCCGCGTACTAAAGTCGTACTACAAAGTCGCCAGTTCTCATCTTCCAGCTCCCCAGATACTCCGCGTACTAAAGTCGTACTAGAAAGTCGCCAGTTCTCATCTTCCAGCTCCCCAGATACTCCGCGTACTAAAGTTGTACTAAACAGTCGCCAGTTCTCATCTTCCAGCTCCCCAGATACTCCGCGTACTCAAGTTGTACTACAAAGTCGCCAGTTCTCAGCTTCCAGCTCCACAGATTGCTCCGCGTACTAAAGTCGTACTAGAAAGTCGCCAGTTCTCATCTTCCAGCTCCCC